GGTTCCTTTTAGATCAAAATGCTATCTAAAAAAAGGAACTTGGCTGACTTAACCCAACCTAAGAGCTTTTTGTAAAATTTCGATGAACAATCCGACCCTTTATATAAAGGTGAGTGGGTAACGTAAGTTACGTAACCCCCATGTTAGTAAATAAAGGTGAGTGGGTAACGTAAGTTACGTAACCCCCATGTTAGTAAGTCGCGAAAAAAATCGGTTTTCCGATGCCGACCGCCAAAAATGGATTTCAGATTCGTAATCTACACCCCAAAAAACATATAATTAAAAAAAAAAACACCCTTTTTTTGGATGTAGTTAATCTGCAATAATACCAAATAATCTTCCAAACCATTCAAAATATGCAAAATTTTCAAGATGAAACAGTGGCATGATTAATAAGTGGCAGAAGAAGCGTCAACGTGAAGCAGGTGCAGGAAACGTGCGCTCACCAGAGGTCCCTTACTGACGGCGCCATCGCTTGTTCGTTTACGTAGTCTGCCTCTGAAGAGGCTCGTGGCATCCATTTCATAATCAGGAGCTCAACCACCCCATCACGGCACCGTGGCAGCCCACTCATCCACCTCAAAACCCTCTAACTATTTAAAATATCATAGAAGTGTAGGATTATGTTCGTGAAATTCTTGAAGACGGTAGAAATAAATGTATGGCGGTATCTGGCACCTCACTTCACCTTGTGAACAACACAAAGCCCACGATTTCACCCTACAAAAATTTATGTGCGATATTTTCCCAAGATACACATTTACGTCGAGAATTTCGTTTATATTCTTCTGTCAAAGTCTCTTTTACGAGACAAGACGAACAAAACTACAAGCTGAATTCATAAAGAAACACAGTAAATAACAAAATCGAAGAACGACGCGCACCATCCCCTACGCTCGCCAGCAGTCTACTAAGGGAAGAAGGGAAGTCAAGGAGGCGCGGGGGCGACTACTGCTACTTGAATTAAGTCGTTTGAATGTTATGTCGGCACCGTTATTACATTCAAACATGTCATGTCGGCAGCGTTATTAAATTCAAACATGCTATGTCGACACCGTCATTACATCCAAACTAAATATCGTGTTCTTTTAGTTGATTTTTTTTTAATGACTATACGAATTCAAATTCAAGAATTATGGAAATTCATCATGAAATGATATGTTGTCGCGAAATTATCCTTTTATAAAAACAGCATTGTATAAGGTTCTATCAAAGGACTGATGAGATTGCAGCAATAAAATTATTATGTATTGCAGCATGAAGGCGATTTTCGTCAGCCAGGAGTTGCTCGATGTATACAATTAGATTTTGAACTTATCGCGAATGTACACAATAATTTGACAAGATCGTGGCCAGGCGTAGCTGCCACATGTCGCTCGGAGAACCATGTCACTAGCATGTATCTTTGTCATTAGGTATAATGTGACTACGTTAAAAAAAGATGCGTTGGGTCTACCGGAAAATATATTAACCCGACGTATGTCAATTAACAATTGACTGCTCAATTTCAAGCAATGTTAGCAAATTGGAACATTTGACGAGGTTTCTAGGATAGAGTGTTAATGTGTGTTGCCTTGCATTGTGACCCACAAGGAATGACCATCAGCTATCTTCAGAATCCATATAAATGGAAGAGTATAATTTGAATCATTCATCGGATCTTTCCGCGCAAGTCTTAAACCGGTCCGACACTTCAGCGAACTCGCGTGCGAACTGGCCTGCGAACTCGAATGCAAAACCTAACTTCATTTCAACTGTGGCACTCATAAATCCTTCAATTATGAACGGATTTTATTCAAATTTGAAATATAAGTAGATAATATCAGTATTGTGCGGGGGGAATTTTTTCAAAATCTGAAAAAATTCCCCCCGCACAATACTGATATTATCTACTTATCTTTCAAATTTGAATAAAATCCGTTCATAATTGAAGGAGTTATGAGTGCCACAGTTGAAATGAATTTAGGTTTTGCATTCGAGTTCGCAGGCCAGTTCGCACGCGAGTTCGCTGAAGTGTCGAATCGGTAAGTCTTAACAATAAAACGTATATTTATCTTAATGCAACGGCCATAGTTGTTCAGCGTTCATTTCCTTCATACGCTCGGTCAAACACGATTCGGTCTACCAAATTGAAATAGGATAAGAAGCAAATTTATTGCATTGCATTATGTAATTATTGTCTTCTCCCACTCCCAGGCCCCAGCAACACTCACCCACCCCAACAACACTCATCCACGGATCCACCTCTAGCAACACTCATCCACCCCTGGCAACACTCATCCACCCGTAGCAACACTCGCCCACCAACAAGCGGCCTCACCCTCCAGTCTGCCTCCGTTACGCCTTTCTTCCTTACCTCAAAAACTGCCTCACAAAAAATATGTCGGGAGCTCGGCTTGAAAATCCCCCCGATCTCGGACAACAGTCGAGGATATAAAAGAAGAAGAGGGAGAAGTTGTTCGTGTACTTGAAGTGGAGGCCAACATGGCGCCTCGCTGATGCCACAAGTATACTGACACAACCAAATTGTATCTTCTCTAAAATAGTCACCATGGTCACTATAGTCACCATAGTCACCAACACTTAAGGTTATCCTAAGACTTAAAACTGCGTAGAAAATTGACCCTAACTTACGATGAACCTCAAGCTCATTTCAGAAATTGCGCTCAACGAGGACGGGGAATGAATAACTTTCTAAGTTGAGAAGCAACAACCAGACGGCGCCAAATAATTTAAAAATTATATTTAAAACCTTGAGATGGCTACGGTTAACCTTTAGCCTAGTGATGCAATAACAATTATCGATGCTGTCGTACCTGAAAGGCACTATAACGCGGGCTACCGTCATAAGACGTAAGGTTGAGAAGGGTTCCTTCTTGCATCTTCTAATCTTGCATCAGGATCCACGCTACAAACTTAAATTGAATCAAGTGTTAAGAATCCTACTCGAATGAACTATTTAATTGAACGAATTTTGCGTCCCTTACCGCATATAAGAATTAACGCAACCTTTTAACCCTAATGAACTTATTTCAACCTTCCGCTCCTTGTGGGTGATGAATAATTGAGACCTTCCACCTCTATGATGTTCATCTTGACTTTCGGTGCGAGATAGCTAAATAGCTGAAGCGCTAGTAAACATTTGACCACTAAACTAAACTAAACTTGCTCCTAAACTTAATTGCAAAAGGGGAAGGAATAGCATTGCTAAGCTGTCATAACTCAGCACGGGTAGCGGGTAGCATAATACTACGGCAGGAGAAGTCTTATAATTAATGCAATAATTTAAACGTAAGGAGTGAATACTCAAAATAATGAGTGGGATAATCTCGCGCCGCACAGAGCTTCAACCCTTACAGCAGGATACCTCCTTGCAGGGCCTGCCGCCAAGCTACATTCAGGCCGCCAGCAGCACTCAGCTGCGGCAAGGCGGAGTGTCACCAACGGGCCACTAGCAAGATACACCCCGACCATCCTTAGGGCCATTGACTGCCAGCACCTGCCATTACCACCTGCTGGTACCAGCCAGCACCTGCCAACACCACCTTCTGCACTGACCTGCCATCACCACCTGCTGCATGCACCAATAGTCAGAACCTGTCAGTGCCTGGACGTGCAGAAGATTGAAGACGACGACTTTTTGACACGAATCTTGCTTATATTTCTCTTGAGAGTTACAATCTAATAGACGAAATAAGCCTGTCCAGTAAACCAACATATAAAAAACATCAGCACTTCTGACCTATTCCATAGATGTGGAAAATCTCGTCAGATCTCCCACTGATAAGTTTAGGTTTCCTCCAAACTCGGCCCGCCATTATTGCAAGCGTTCGTAGAAGACATTATTGATGAGTAGCAATTATATCTAACTATAATGAAGTTTGTATTTATTCCTCCTAAAAAGGTAGAAATAATTTATGTGTATCAATTATTTCTGACTATAGCGACAATAATCAAGTTTGTATTATTTATTCCTCCAAAAGAGGTAGAAATAATTGATGACTCTCAATTATAACTAACTATAATTATTTCTAACTATAGCGACAATAATGAAGTTTGTATTTATTTCTGCTAAAGAGCACAAGGCGGTGCGTTGAAAGAACTATAAGTTGAGCGGTGCCCCTCATTGAGGCAGGAACTTCTTGGCAAAGAGCGCCGCGAGGGCCTTAGTCTTGTCCCCTCGGTGGTCCTGCAACTCCTGCAGGACTTCCTCCCTCGTGAACCCCACCGCCATCAGCTCCGCTACGTCCTCTGCCGTCACTCCTGCAGGCAGCGACGGGCTCACGTCAGCAGACGACGGGCCCGTCACGTCCATTGCAGAGGAAGGGTCAGCAGGGACGTCGCCGGCGCTGGCCGCCAGGGCTCTGGCGAGAGCGAGGTCCTCCGCCTCCCGCGCCTGCAGCAGGGACAATAATTCAAGTGTTTAATAAAGCTCGTTAATAATAATGATATAAGAGCTACCAACCACCCTCCCCACACGCTACACACCCAACACTACGCCCCTAACCCCCCAGTGTTGGTTGTGTAAACCCAACCTCCGCTAACCTCCCGTCCAGCGGGCTTTTCCGGGGCGTGTAAGACTGGTCGTAGCACCTGGCAAGTCCTCGGTCATGCTCTTCACCCCAGACACTCACCAATCCCGATCCCACCCATCTGCCACAATCTGTAACGGCATCATCCCCCTGGATAAAACCCCCCAAGTCCTAGGCGTCACCTGGGACACGCACTTCACGTTCTCACCACACGTCAGAGCTATAGCCACTAAAGCGACGGGTCACCTCACGCACTGCAATAGCTAGCCTTCAAACTATACAAAACCCGCCCTGAGACTAGCCACCGGCAGCCTCAAACTGTCCCGATCGCCTATCTTCACCATGAGACCGTCGTTCTTCCCTTGTCCGCTCACCTGGACCTGGCTTGTGCTCAGTTCCTCGCCAGCGCCCTCCAACCCTCCCATACCTCATTCCACATTGTTTCTGCTCCCCTCGGGGACCGCCCCATGAAAGCCTCCATCCAGTCGAGGTTCGGCCACCTTGTCGCACCATTTATGGAAAACAGTATCATGCCCACCGGTGCCTATGGAGAGACCGAGCGCTCTCTTCGCAGGGAGATCACCTCCCGCGTTGCGGCGACTGACGTTATCAACGCTGTCCTCGCAGCCCCACCACCGCCGCCGATTACATCAGAAGAGACCTCGCTCTCGCGCCCCTACCGCTCGGCGCTGTCCCAGCTCCACTCGGGATACTGCAGCTCCCCGGCATCCTACTCCGCTAGGATCGGACGCTCTCCTAGCTCCACCTGCCCGGAGTGCGGGGATCTCCTCCAATCCGTCTAGCATCTCTTCGCCTGCCCCACCTTCCCCAAGTCCCTCAGCGTCTCCTCACTGCGGGAAAACCCCGTGGAGGCAGCGGCTTTCCTGGCCACCCTCCCTGCCTTCGCCCATCTCCCCCCTCTTCCGGTGCCTCCACCCCCCGGTGAGCGTGACGGTCGCCACAACGCCACAAACAACAACAACACACCCCCTCCCTAACAACCCCCCCACCTGCTGCTCGCTCTCGCGACGCACGCCCTCCTCAGAACGCAGATCGGAGCCCTGCGTGAGGCGGGCGCACTCGGGCAGCTCTGCTTCAGACAGGAACTTGGTGATAGTGTTAGTGGTGCCAATCTGCAGGTGGTTCTGAGCCAGGTCTATCACCATCTGCACAGCAATGACAATCTTCTTAGATTGTGATCTTCAAGCACAAACACGTCCAGCACCAGAAACANGCTCTGATTACAGCAGGTAAGCTCTGATTACAGCAGGTAAGCTCTGATTACAGCAGTAAGCTCTGATTACAGCAGGTAAGCTCTGATTACAGCAGGTAAGCTCTGATTACAGCAGTAAGCTCTGATTACAGCAGGAATAAAGACTCTAACATCATGCCATCCTTGCAATGATGATAAGCTCTTCAATGGTGATCATAGATCTTCATGTCATATCATGTCATCATATTCAAGATTTTAGAAGAAATCAAAAGGAATATAATAAATAAAACAGCTGTTGGCTAGGGCGCAAAATGCTAATTGAACATCATTAGAAATGATTATGCTAATTGAACATTATTAAAGATTATTATGCTAATTGAACATTGTATTCACTAATGTTGGGGGCAGACCCTTGCAGCTCAGAGCAAAGACAATATATAAATTAATTCCAGGCAATTGTGCTCATTTAATTCCACCTTTTATGCCCTCTGCATACTCCTCAGTCAAGTGCCAGTTTCAATGGAGAAGGATTAAAATCATACAGATCACACATAAAATAGTTTGTTGAACTCACTTAAAATTACATAAAGACTATGAGAGGCAGGAGCCAGCAATTTATGGTGAGTGAAGCTAGAGTATAGACCTGTATTTTGCATGTTTCAATTCAAGTTTAATTTAGCTAGTAAAAAAATGGCATCATTTTTAAAAAAGAAAGTGGTCTAAGTTACCCCATTTTACGGTACTTTAGGTTAATTACTTTTCATTATTTGTTGCCCAGGGCTCAATTATATCTATGATATTCTATGCACAATTTTGTGATGACTGATGATGCATCAATTTTTTGTAAAGTGAAATTTTATTCACTGAGCAAGGTAAATGTAATCAAAAATTCTTTGTTGTTAATTGATTTTTTTGTCAACTGGAGCCTTTGCTAACCAAGGCTCCACTGTGAATGCATTTTTAGGGGTGTCCCTTATTACCCCGGGGGGGTGTCCATTATTACCCCATCTTGCGGAAATGGCTGCCATTTCTTTTTGGAATGAGATACGTAAATTCTGTCAATCACATTTTTAAGCCAACACCATTTTGCAATTTTATGTAAGTAAAATTTTTTAATATGACAAATTTTTTTTTTTTTTTTGCTACAGACCTTAGTAGAGGTACTTTTCCAAAATCTCACTTTTCACACTTTTTTTCACGGATTTTTTAGAGGTTATAAATGTATGATTTCTTAACTAGCTTCATGCTACATAGATAGTAAAAAAGTTGAACTTTATGCCACTATTTTTAGTTTTGCAATATTTTGATTAGTTTAGCTGCTACAACATTTCTACAAAATGTTGAAGGACTGTCCCTTACTACCTCGTTTGACGGTAATAATCACTAATCAGCTACTGGCTGGTCTGTCTTTGTAGCTCTCAGCTGGCCACTCAGGGTCACAGTCAGCTAACAACTGCCCAACCAAACCAAAGTGACAGCTGATCTTCGCTAGCTACATCACGTCAAGCAGCCTACAGGTTCAACTGTCGTGTGTACAACACGACTACTTAACGCTTGCAGTCTCTTACATTTTTGTGCATGACAAGAATGATCCAGCAGGTACTACATTAAACAATCCTGTGCATAGTTAGAAACAAGTAAATTTGTGAATGACAGTTTCCTGACATTCACAAAACAATTACCTTGCCTTTGACTGGCTGTGTCTTGTCTTGGTGCCACCGTTCCTGAAGATCTCCGAGTAGAGCTTGGAACTTGGATACTTGAAAAATCAAATTGTGCAATATCTGCAAAAAAAATTTTACAATTATGTGAATTTATTAATGAATTTTCAAGTGCTATATGAATTTACATCATCCTTGACTTGTTCATTTATGAAATATTTTGTTTGTTCACCAACTTTACATGAAAATTTTATCACAGAAAATGATTCATTAGAGAGTTTCCCAGTAGAAATGGGTCTAAGAATCACAAACTTATATTATCTTTATGTTCATTTAAACACACAAGAAAAACTCATGAACATTTGCAAAGAAGCCCACCAAGAAATTTATCTCTTGCACAAATATTACTAAATATATTTATCTCTTGCACAAATATGACTAAATAACAACAGGAAAACTCTTTCACTCCTAATTTTCCCTCAAAGCTTATTAATTAGTAACCCCTTGAACATAATTTAACTTCAGTTAAGGTCCCTTGCACTAATTGAATTTGATGACACTGAGCGAGTACTGAGGTCTCAATATAAGCAAGTTATCTTACCAGGATGAACACTAGAGGAGGAGGGGAAGGATGAGGAGAGTGATGCTTGGGTGGGCGGAGAAGTTCTCAGGATGAGGACCAGGTCACCATCAGCAACACCTAGCTCCTTCAGGGTCTTTTTGTCATCTATTAATGGTGTGCCATTAACCATGACAGTCATTGTGCTGCGTGGTATGGCAACCTGCACAAAATGTTCAGTGTATCACATGGTAAACTTTACAGTAAGGAAGAAGCCCTGGAACAGAAGATGTCTGGCCATCCTCAAGCTGGTACACATAAATAAATATTTTTGTTTATAAAATGTTCAGTCAAGCTCATCAACAATGCTTGACTAAAGTGCCTGTTCAGTTCATTTTAATTTTGGCCACTTTGCAGAGTCTGGCAATTATTCCACCGATATCAAAATTCTGGGCCTAAATGGTCCCCGTATAATTGAGGATATGTTCCTAGAATTACTTAAAGATGCAAAAGTTATTGACAAACAAAGATAAAGATGAATTTAAATAAAAATGTTTTGACAAAATATTCTGAACTTCTCAGGCAGGTCAGAATTATGGAGTGGTACCATCATAAAGGGCTGGTGAGTGGTAAATAAGGACAGTCCATCATTAAGTAGAAATGAAACCGGTATAGCAGCAAAACTAATTAAAATATTGCAAAACAAAAAATAGTGGCATAAACTTCAATATTTTTCCAATCTACCTATATAGCATAAAGGAAGGTAAGAAATCATACATTTACTAGCTCTAAAAAATACCCCAAAAAAAGTTAAAAAATTATATTTTGGAAATACTTTTGCTATGGTCAGTAGTAAAAAAAAAATATTTGCCTTATCAAAAAAATTTGCTTGAAAAAACTGGCAGACAAGTGTTGGCTTTAAAACTTAATTGATGGAATTGATGTACCTCAATCCAAAACAAAATGGTGGAGGTACCCCTCTAGAATTCCACACTATACGTAGACCATGGCTTTTTTCCAATTTATTCTATCTTTATAAGAAAAACAGCTTATTCTCATCCAATGATTTTTAAAAATCACCCATAAAAAACTTTGTACCTGCAATTTCAGGAAACTTCTGTCTGATATTTCAAATTGAGTCAATTCATAGGACTAAAAATAGAAAGTTTTAAAAGAGACTCAGCTTTGCCACTATGCAGCAATCAAGTTCAATTGTTAACCAAAGTACACAATAAAGCCATGTGATTCTAACATTATCAAAATTATTTTACTTTTGAACTGCAAGATTTCAGTGGGTATTAAATACTAAATCTCCTATCCTCTACATAAGGCTTGAAAGTTGAACCATGGTGGTTTCACACTATTTAAATCTATAAAGATATATTAATAATAATCAATGATTGATGCCCATTGGAAATCAATAAAATAACTAATTCTCAACAAAGAAAAATATTTTAAATATTCTGAACAATGTTAAAATACTTACTTCAGCTTCACATAGTGCTTTAAAATTTTCCAGCTCCAAATCCTCTGAAACCTCCAGTGAATAACTGTCGGTTTCAGTTGTAATGGATAGCAACATAATTCCTAACAATTATATAATATATTTTTTAGGGCTTAGGGTCTGTTTTCCTGCAAACATTTGTCACCAAAATTCAAACTGAGAATTTCAAGTGTCCAGTTTTGTTCTTCTTTTGTCCACTTTCTGAGAACTTGGTTATTCACCATTTGCCTCACATCTAGATGGGCAGCAGAAGTTAGGCCGGACAAACCTGAGGGCAAGGGGCTCAGTAAGTTTGTGAGTCTGAGATATTCTGTTAGTTCAATCAACTGCTTGATACTGTAATTAGTGCTACATGCATGTTAGTAACCCTTACCCAACTGGAGGGCCTACCCAGACAGAGAGCCAGCACTGGATGGTCCAGCCTGGGATGGTGCAGTCTGAAGCACTATAATTATGTACAGAGGTATGTAAGCAATGTGATCAAGACCTGCTGATGCTAATCTTCTGAGCTACCGTCAAGTGGGGTGACTTCGGCCATCACTACAACAGAAACAAAAGGCAGCAAAACAAACTAATATAAACGTTGGCCAATGTGCCTGGGATGATTTTGGCCTCTGGGGCGAATTTGGCCAACGTTTATTATTTAGTTTTGCTGCCATTTGTTTCTGTTGTAGTGCTGGCCAAAGTCACCCCACTAGACGGTACTTGACTGATTCCATCAGGGTCAAAACTCAATAGGGGAGCCTCCTGTCTGGGGGATTTTGTACACAACTTGGAAAGATCCTGTACAGGAGTCACATTTACAATTAGTCATGTGATAGAGAGGATCCTGCCAAGCCCGTCATGCTTCAAATGCATCAAAGGGGTGGTTGAGGACCATTAGATTAGTGATTAGCTGGAACTACATTTCTTTCAAATGCTCAGTATGGAGAAGGTATTTAGTAAAGGCACTGACTATTGCAAACTGAACAGGAGGAGGGAAATACCCACCTCTACACAAGTTTTGGAGAGTTGTGGAGACTCCAACCTCACAGAGGGTATCCTGAAACTCAGTCCAAGCCATAACATAAAGTGGGCATTGTATTAGAGATTGCACTATTGAGTATTTATTATTTATTTTTATTGAGTCAGTATTGCACTGACAAAGGTTAGTCTCAGCTAACTTGAAGCGATGTTAATGTTGCCTGACTCCAACATGTCCCATTTGCAAACATGCTAATGTTGCTTCTACTATTTTGATCTTACATAATGACCATGGCAATACTGAACATGACCTTTAAATGACATCAAATGTCTTCCCTTATCTGAATTTTCAACTTCCTGATCAATGCCAATTATTGTCCCAGAATCTCATAAGTGATGTTCTAACTTCTCTTAACATATCTTCCTTGTACACCCCTGCTTCCAGAGTGATATTGCTCAGGCTGTGTCATGCCTTTGCAGCCAGGTTTGCCAGCTCATTCCCTTCAATGTTCTTATGGTCTGGAATAAACTGAATCTTCATGGGAGATAATTGGCTTATTGCATAAATCAACCAATGAGTTTTAGTTTNAGGCTGTAGTGACTGAATCAATAGCAAATTGGACATGGAGTAAGAATATATTACCACACCAGGGCAGCTTCGAATATTTCAAAAGACAAACTGCAAGGCTTTAACAATTGCAAATAGCTCATACCCTAATATACATTTTTTGAGGATGGAGCCTAAAATTATGACTCTGAGTGAAGACAGTTATGAACAACTGATGAAGCTGCTATTTCAGGCTGCATGAACTTTGACCTATTTGTAAAAACCTCTAGATATCCTACATAAAATGTAGCTGGGAGGTCACAGAAGACAGCTTGGGCCATATGTTCTGAGATTTCTTTCACTGGCACAGCAAAAATCTTTGCAAATAAAATCCTTCACATCCACTCATGGAGGAATTGGGGACATAACTGGAGCAGTATTGACAGCTGGGAGTCCACCCTCCAGCATATTGGAAAACACTGGGGCACCCAGAGGAGGCACCAGGATTTTACCTGCCCACAGTCTCGTTCAGTCGTTCCTGCAGCTATATTAGCATACAGAAGCTCATCTGCCACCGCTATATGCCAAGGTAATTCTGATATCTGTTCATAGAACCTTAAGCTTACAAGCATTCTACATAGAGTTAAAGGTAAAACATGACTTTCAACTTCCTATGACATAAAGGGAGACCTACATAATAATTACCAACTAACGGGATCTCTTGAATACAGCTTCAGCAGCTTGTGTAAGCAAGGATGTGAATGACTCCTCCTTCTTTTGAGATGGACCAAAGGTTTCTTTCCACTTCCCCCACTTGCTGGGATTGATGACCCACCTCTGACTTGCTCTGAACATTGAAGAGGAGCATACTGCTCCTATTAGCTTTCTTGTTAAATTTCCAGTCCCTTGCATAACTTTCATTGCTAGACCTATGATTTATCATGATATTTTAGATCATGCTACCTTTTATTGTTTTCTTTTATAGGAAGGAGTGGTTTACTTTAACTTTGTTATTAATAATGTTTATGTTTTCTTCTTTCTGCATTTGTTTCAGACTTATATCCTTGTTATTGGCCTAACCAATCACTTGCCTCCAGCATTTGTCAGTGTAAAGCTTCATTACATTTATAACACACCAGCATGGTTTGTTAGACTTATGCCTAACTGCACTTAACTTCATCAATGCCTGCATCCTTTGCCTGAATCACCCTATACCTGCTTGCCAAATTACTCTGGTTCTCCTGCATACTCCTGTTTCCAAGGCAACTTCACTGCTCCTTAATGGTGAGTTTGTGGTGAACTGGTAAAATAAGGCAGTAAATTCCCAACCTGTCCAGTGTCATGATTTCAATTTAATTGCTATCAATTGGCTTGTGATTTTGTTGAACATTTGTTTGCTATTACAGTTAGGTATTGAGTGTTTATTTGCTTTTGAGCATTCACATTGTTTTATTTGCAGAACAGATGCTAAGTCTTGCATTTTGCTTTGTGTTCTCCCTTGCTATACTGTACTGTGTAATTGTCCTACTTCTTGCTAAAGCTTTAACCCTTGTTGCTGAATTTAACCAAAGTACCAACATCATTCACCAGAAGTAGGAGTCCTTTATTCACTATCAAGGGTAGTAGACTCAAGTTTGTACTTGTTAATTTGATAGGAGCAGCCAGTGCCGGGCCCGGCTGGCAGGCTGTTCAGAGACCTGGAGACCCAGACTGGTGGCCCTTAACCTTCCCAACCTGAGTATCAGCAACTAATCCTGAACTTCTTGAAGACTGCAGCATTTATGCATGTATATCTATGTGTATATTGTACTAAATTAATTTTGCCCTGATTATATAACCAAAGCCTTGGCTTAACTGTTCAACTCACTGGCCATTCTAGACAATTTCTCAAGGGCTTATAGTTAGCATAGCTAATTGCAGAGTATTAGGGCATATGCCTGTTGTAAACGTAGTTGATTTGAACTGTGACTTTATTTACTGTGCCAGGAGTAACCTAATGTGACTAGTCCAGTGCCGTGAGTGCCCTACTATTTTGAGTAAATAAGATCAATGTTGTTAGGTTAGATCCATTGCACTAGTGTTTGGTGACATTAGTTGCTATTCCTATGTTCCTACCCTGCATATATCTACTGAAANTAAAGTGCATATATCTACTGAAACTGAAGTTAAGTTAAAACAACTACCGGGTAATCCTCATTCCGTACAATACAAAAGTAACTTTTATAAGTAAGGCTATTTATCTATTCTAATACCATCTTTTAAAGACAAGATTTGTACTCGCGGTTTTACTTATCCGAAATGAACTGAACAACTAAGTGCACCATTCATCTTACCACTTCAACTGCTTAACCGAGAATGCCCAGCGGCCGCCAGCATGTGACAATCATTATTAACCCTTGTAAGTTTAAAAAGACGTGACATTTCGTTTTATAAGAGTTTTAGTTAAATGTTTACATCGAAAGCGAGCTCAAGGTGTAGTGAATCTGTGTGGACAGATATTTATCGATATCAATGTTACTTAGACAGAAACCTCTTACGTTTCAGATAACAATCGTGAAACTTCCGTAAAATTATACAGTTCATTTTCTATGTTCACATATCTGATTGAAAAAATTATTTCTAATTTCAGTCAAAATTTATACCAACAAAATGAAGAGAGAAACGATTATTTTGAAACTGAAGGAAGACCTTATTAGTAAGGGTTTAGTTGTTCCCGACGTTGCATTTTTAAACGTGTGCCAGCACCTAATGCTCGTGTAACATCGTCACGTAACGCTCGTGTAACATCATCACGTAACGCTCATATGTCACTGCCCTCTCATATTCTTTGAAGAACCAGGGACCAATTATTCCAACTCGGGATATTGCGCACTAAACAGTCACACGTTGCGAGTGTAGCGATCTTAGGTGAAGTTCTCGTGGGTTTTCGGCGCTCCAATACCACATGGCGCCTGCTTCTTCACAGCCCCAGAGAAATAGAAGTGCGCTTGATCGCTGTCGAGCTCGAGCGTAGGCACGCTTGTGTGCTCCTGCGTAAATAAAGAATGAATAATAAAGTCGAGAAAAAGCCCTACATGCAGCCTCACGAGCAACGAAGTCACAAGGAATCAGTTCCTGGGCGACAATTATCTTGTAGGGATGGAACTTCAATTCCTCGTGAAGGATCCATGGTTAAAGTGTTGGCCCAGTGGTTAATGTTCAGAGTACCAATACTGGGGCAGAGAGGCGCGGGTTCGATCCCTGCTCTGTGCGACAGTTTCTGGTCAGAATCAGCGAGGAAACCGGGCGGTTAAGCACAGAAGAAGTGTAGCAGTGAGTTGCGAGTTCGAGACCGCAAAATGCTGTGAATGTCCTGTGATGCTAAAAATCGGCGACAGGACTACGGCCTAATTAACCGCTGAAACCGCTATTATAACCCAAGAGCTGATGCATGCTTGCGAGCTAATCGTCGGGGAGACCTCAAGATGGATTGCCGAACCTCTGCGATGTTCTGCGGAGATCTTGCAGTCCTTTGGAGACCAGGCTCCTTCTTCGTCTCATCTTCAGATTGCTTGAAGTTCTTCGCCCACGAAACGATTGACTGTCGTCCTGGAACACGTCAATGAGGGTCAACATGGAAGAACTGACGAAATGAACGCTGCGTGGTGATGGTTGATTATCCACAAAGAAATAAGCCTCAACCGTAAAAACACGTTCGGGATTGTCCTTTCCATGAATACTGCAAAGAAACAGAAAATAAGTAAATGCTGCTTATCATATAAACAAAATTTTACAGTTTGGGCTCTTGATTAAGCTCCTCTGAATAATAAAGACGAGAAAAAGCCCTACATGCAGCCTTACGAGCAACGAAGTCACAAGGAATCAGATTCTGGGCG